AATATTATATAAAACTATAGCATTTCAAACACAGATAATTACATTTCTTATCAAATACGTGGACTCTTGTATAATAGTTCAGCTTAATACATATGCGGTTTAATTAAAATTTATAAATGGTTGTAGACCAAACCAAGTGTATCTTAATTAAATCAGAACATGGATCACAGCTGTTAAGGTTAACCCCAATATTAATAAAGGAGATGCAAACACAATCATTAGGAACTTAGTGGAGTGATTTTGGTCAGGAGGGAAGCAAGATGAATGGAAGGTTAGGAAGTTTCCTTGTGCTTAAACTGGGAAGAGGAATGGCCCGCAGAGCGGGAAGTGCAGGAAGACAGAGTGGCCTGCCCAGCAAGGCTCTGACCTAGAAAAAGCCTTGTGTTGCTTAGGGTTACTCTTGCTGTGATGAAACACCATGATCCAAAGTAACTTGGGGGGATTTCACACATAGTTCCGTGCCATTGTTCCTCATCAAAAGCAGTAAGGGCAGGAACACAAGCAGGGAGGAACCTGGAGGCAGGGGCCATGGAGAGGTGTCTCTTTGGATTTGCTCAGCCTGCTTGTATATAGAACCCAGGACCACGAGCCCAGGGATGGCACTGCCCACAATGGGCTGGGGGTTCTCCCACATCAATAGAGGCATTTTCTCAGAGGAGGTTCCCTCCTGTCAGATAAGTCTAGATTGTGTCAAGTTGACATAGACTTAGCCAGCACAACCTTCATGCATGAACATCTAAATCATTCATTGGGTGGTAAACATTCACAAGAGGAGGAGGAGTCTTCCATGATAGTTCTCAAGTCAGGGGAGGTCTTGATAGCTTTGGAGAAGAGCTGCATCAGCAAATACACTGCTGGAGATGAAAATCATTCTTGCTGGTTGACAGGTGAGAGACAGCTGCCCAATCAGATTAGGATTTTAGACACACCATAAGATAAATTTTGATCTAACTACGCTCCATGATGTCTTAGTTACAGGTCCTATTGCTTGATAAACTACACTGACAAAAGTAACTTGAGTGAGAAACTTGAGTGAGAAACTCGTATTTCAAGAGTACAGTCCATTGTGGAAGGGAAGTCATGGTGGCAGGAGTTTAGGCAGCTGCTCAACCAAATAGCAGAGATGGGCCGAAATTCATGCTGAGTTCCCTTTCTCCTTTTCATTTGTCCACCTCAGTCAACCTAACCCAGATAATCCCTATTGGCCAACAGTGTTTTATTTATATGTATAAGGCAAACATAAACACAGAAGACCATTCCCCATCATCTCCTCTTTTCTGTCCAAATAAAAATAAAGGTTTTAACTTTAACATACAGTGCTTTATTTATATGTATAAAACAAACATATACACAGAATACCATTCCCCATCATTCCAGATAATCCCTCACAGACAGGATCAAGACTAACCTAACCTAGATAACTCCTCACAGACAGGCCCAGTACGTGTCTCCTAGGAGACTGTAGATCCTGACAAGTTGACAATATTAATCATGACACAGAATACATATCCTGTAATTTTTTAATATTTGGTACCTATTTTTAATATTTGGCACCTATGTTGAGTTTAAAACCATAATAAAAGGCTTGCCAAGGAACTTTCTGTTATTCTAAAATAAACCACAGCATCTGTTGAAGAATGATTGTTAAGGCTGACTAACATCTCAAGTGGTATATGCAAAGTTGGATCACCCTGAAGGTTGAGGACCAGTGTGGGGAGTCCGGGGAATCAGAGAGAGCCCCCATTTCAAGAGGTGGCTCATTCCTACCCACCTGTCTTCAAGTCCTTTTTCGTGTGTCTACCTCAGAGCAGAATACTTTGGGGAATGGGTCAGCCACAGAGAACTAAGCTGGTCAGAAAAATCAATATAGAAACATGTATTTCAGGTCAATTTTGTAAACAGAACTGTGTGGCTGAACCCACAAGAATTAAAGTCTAGCAACTTCTCTGCTCTCCAGGACAGTCTGTGTGCAGAGGAAGTGAGAGGAGCCCTGGGGGATGAGGGGTTCTTCTCAGTCTTGGGCTGGCTCTCAGAAGACCTCAGCCCACCTTCTACTGTCATGAGCTTGTTTTCAGAATGGGAGTGAAGTCTGCATTATACATACTTCAGAAGGAGTCTCATTCTCTGCCTGACCAGAACACCATGTGCAGAGACTATCCAGAACTAAAGGGAACTGATGGTCATTAAGTCCCTCAGTGAAGAGAACACACTGCTGGGTAAGGTCTGGACCATAACTAACAATGTAAAGGAATTAGCACCATCTCAGAGACAGGAGAATCCAGTCATCTATTTATTTAATAATCATTATGTTTTGCAGCAGTTGTAGATTCACAGAGTAAGTGATCAGAAATTGCAGAGATTTACCATATGCCCCTACCCCTGCCCTTGCCTCCCCAATATCAACATGGAATATCGGAGGTAATTCTGTTACAGTCCCCAGCATCCACACCCTAGTATTATACAAAGTACATAGTCTACACCATGGCTCCCTTGTGACCTTGAATATCCATGGAGACTTGGATGGACATGTGATGGTAGATGGCCACCATGACAGGATCACACAGTAGTTTTACATCTAAAACGATAGCCACCATGACAGGATCACACAGTAGTTTCACATCTAAAACGATAGCCACCATGGCAGGATTACACAGTAGTTTCACATCTAAAACTCCCGTGACATCCACCAGTCCAAACGGGTTCCCATGTTCATTTTCTAGGACTGCTACAACAAAGCTGGTGGCTTATATAGTCAGGAAATTGGGGCTGGAGGCAGGGGTCACTCAGGGGTTAAGAGCATGCCCTGTACCCCAGTAAAGTCCCCACATTGATTGAGCAAACACCCGTAACACTAGATCCAGGGGCTCTGACATTCTTTTCTATCTTCTCTATGTGCCTTTACTCATGTGCCCATGCCCCCCACACACAAAATAATATAATATAATAATTGGTTTTTTCCCTCCTCCCCTCTCTCTTTCCACCCTCCACCTTGCCCCCCCACTCCCAATTTACTCAGATCTTGTCTATTTTCCCTTCCTAGGCAGATCTATGTATATTTTTAATTAGAAGTTTATTCTCTTACAACTCTGAAGACTAGCCAGGCAGTGGTGGCACGTGCCTTTAATCCCAGCACTCCAGAGGCAGAGACAGGGGAATCTCTGTGTTAGAGGCCTGCCTGATCAACAGAGCTAGTTCCAGAACAGTCAGAACTACAAAGAGAAACACTGTTTCAAAAAATTAAGCTAAAACAAAAATGACAGTTCTGAAGAGTAGAAGTCCACAGTCAAAGAGTTGGTAAATCCATGCTTTTTCTCAAGGCTCTCAGAGATAAGTTGATGCTTGACTCATGCTGGATCTGACAACAGAGAAATTAGTCACTCTGCCAAGCTAAGAGAAGTAAGGATATAGGATACTGGGCATTGGCAATAATGGGAGCTACATTGGACTCCATCAGTAGTAACAGGGCAAGAGGGAAGGGTGGAGGAGCACAAGCAACAGAATCATGGTCATCCCTTGAGGTCCATTGTCAAACACGGGTGCTTTGTCTGAACACCAGTCCAAGAATGGAGCCATGTGAGGATTCTGAGTGCTTGTTGGAACACTCCAAGAGAACCAAACAGAGTCTTGTGACCTCAGTTTCTTCAAAACATGGAATTGCTCTTGGAATGTGTTTTCCTGCTCTTCCCAGGTATACCAGGTAAGAGCAAGTTTACTTCAGATTACTCATCACTGGTTGCTGGTGTTATTCAATTAAATATTTATAGTCCTCTATGAAGAAACACGTTTTTGCTTATCCTTTGTGATTGTATACAGCTAGAACTCATGAGTTTATTCACATGACCTTTTTTAACCTCAGAGTATACATTTCTGATGCTTTAAACAAAGTTGCATTGCATAAGACTTTAGTCCAACTTATTTATCACCTCCGTTCTCCCAGATCCCATCACCTCTACATCAGTGACAATGCTCAACCCAATACTGCTAAACTGCTAAACAACAATGAAACTCCAGATTGACACAGTGGTTTCAGTAGCTGCTCCCAGCTGTGCTCACCACCTGCTCAGGGGCAGAGGTAAAGGCAGCAAGAGAAATTTCCAACTTTCACCATAGCATGTAAACACTCAACAAATACTTCTTCCCTGTCACAAAGTGTCTGGATATTTTTAATGTGTGTGCCAAAAGCAACTCCCACTCATGGCTACATTTTTAAACATTTAGTTACACAGTGGGCTGATGTTCCCATGAAAATACTACTTTAAAGCTGGTAGAACTTGGATCTGAAATGTCCTTCAAAAAATCACATATTGAAGGCTAGTCCCCAGCTAGGGCGCTACTAAAAGGTATGGAAACTGTTAAGAGAAGGGGGATCGGAAGGAACAGGTCACTGAGCCATGTTTTTGAAGTCCATATTGGGACTTCTCCTCACTCTCCCTCCCTCTTCTCTCCTGACCACCATGAGGTGAAGAGTGTCCTCTACTGTTTGTTTCTACCAGGATGCACTCTGCTGCCTCAGGCCTGCAGCAGATGTTCTGCATCTCAAGATGATCTACCATCCTTTAAAGTTGTTTGTCTCAGGTGTTCTGTCACAGTGACCCAAAGCTGACTAACCCAAATGATCTTTGCTTCTAACAGCCTGGTTACAGGTGGCCACTATCATCCACTCAGCTCTCACTCTGGACTCTGCTGTTTGGACACAGAGGGACTTCTCCCAAACAGCAATGTTGTAAAAGTCATAATCTCAGAATCTACTGAAAAAAGTTCCAAATAAGAGAACTTTTCAGTGAGAGCAAACCGTCAATACTGAGTGTTAGTATCCAGGCATCTGAACTGGGCTGTCCTTGGGTTCTGACAGGATATGCCCTCAGCTGCAGCCACTAAGAGCACCACCTGTGTCTATTCTGTCTATTCACTATCTGCCCTTTTAAAAGGGCCCTGCCCACCTACCAGCCTCCTCTCTCTGTCTTTCTCTGTTTCTCTGTGTATGTCCCTCTCCCTCTCTCTCTTACTGCCCCTCCTTCCTCTCTCCTACTGCTTCTGTCCCTGGAGGCCAGTCTCCCCGTTGTAGGGAGAGATCATGTACCTGCAGCACTAACCATACCTGCTGGGCGTGGTTACAGGTAAGTGGGAGAAATCAGGGATAAAAGAGGATACAGGAGGGACTGACTATGCTCTCTTTCTTGGATTCCAATCGAGGTTCAGAGACCATAGAGCACTGACCCCGTCCTTGGCTTCTCATGTAAGTTACTTCTCTCTGTCTGAATAAATATCCAACTACATTTTCCCCGGCATCCTTGGCATGACTCATTTCCATTCTCACCCCCCTCCTGTTTACCTTTTTTATGATTCTTTTCCCTTAATTAAAAAAACCCTCTGCTTGAACCCTGTCACATGATATCTTTCTAGTGCTGCTCTTCTTAAAAATTACAACAATGAGTATAATTCCAGCAGTAGTGACTAGAAACCGAAAACAGCCTAGAAAAGAAGACATTATTAGGTTTCTGAATCAGAATGAAGGAAGACTAATTGGAGAAGCCTGAGGTTCACAGAGATTCTGCAGGGTATAGCACTGCCGAGATCCCACAAGAACCCGATGCTGTCCAAACCATCTCGAGTGGGAAAGGCTTGCCTCATCCCTAATCCTGGACTGTAATGAGCATCACCCAGCACCCTGCTCAGCCAGATGCAAATAAGCCTGCTTGTCTTGTCCTTGTTTGGTTTACGGTTTGGGCTCATCCAAGGAATTAGGAAAGGGGCAGGGGACAACGATGACAATCCTGGTGTGTCTGAGCAACAAGATAGGAAAAGAGGAAGGTAAGAAACATAGGAGAGAGAGGCTCTGTGGTGGGTGGAAATTGATGAGCTATGGGGAGGGGAAGGGGGTAGTGGGGATTAAAGGTACAAGAGGGTGCTCTGTAGACCACTGAGCTCTACATCATACTCAGCCCCCCACCCCCAGCCTTCCAATCCTGTGGCCTTACACTTGTGTCCACACCTAGAGCCACTGGGAAGGGTGCTCTGGAAAAGTGACGGTAATTGTTGGAAAAGGTCCTGTCATAGGCTGAGGGGGAGTGGTTTCGTAAGTGACTGGTGGGAGTCTGGTCCTATGTGACAATGGAGAAACACTCTGCTTTCCATGGAGGTGCCATCTTCTGGGATCCACCTTTTATTTGGAGCCTGGGAGCCTGAGATCATCTAGGTCATTGAAAAGGAAGACTGAGAGCATGGTTCAGATGGGGTAAGGGATCTCCGGATTTGGTCTGGCTTTGCCGTATGGCAGAATTGGGTGACATCAGAGCATGAGTGTTCCTGCTAGTCTTGTGGACTGGAGCCTAGCATAATCATCATCGGAGAGCTTTATCTAGCAACTGATGGGAGCAGATAGAGAGACCCACAGCCAAACATTAGGCTCTGTACAGAACTAGCTAGGACAAGCTTACTCCTACCTTTCTCACTGGTGGAGACTCCAGAAGGAATGTAATCCCCAGAGTAAGATGGGTTCTTTTAAACTATTGTCAGGGGTAACTTGCCACAGCATGCAGAAGAATCCTCTCCTTTTCATGCCCTCATCCAGTGGAACAGTGCCCTTGTCTTCAGTGGGCTCTGGCCAATTGAAATGCAACCGCCAGAGTGACCCTGAAAGAGGGCCAGTCATTGAAGCTGCACAGTACATATTTGCACCTACAGTGATAGGATCCAAAGAAAGGTGAGCATGGAATAGATGCCCTGTGTGTGTTTGCCCCTCGGGTAGACTTTCAGTAGTGAAATCCTGCCATCATTAGTCCAGTGTGTATGAACTGCTGGCAACAAGAGTCAGCAACTAAGCCCTCCCTCCTTCTCAGTCAGAGGCAGCAGACTACAGTTCAAAAGCCAGCTGCTCAGAAACCATCATGCTAGTCTGGGGACCTCCAGTCCTGATTATCCTAATGACCCTCTCTCGACAATGAGACCCTTTTAAAATACTTTGCATGCCCAGCTTATAGTCTGTAGAGCAGGGGTAATTGTGCCTTTTCTCCAGGGCTGCTGCAAAAACCAGTGGCCTCAAGTCTCAGCTAATTTTCACATTGTTTATCAGCAGCCAGCAGCCTAGGCAGAGCCCTGAAGGAGGAGCCAGATGTCTACAAAGTAGGCAATGGAACAAGACCACTGTTACATGTTTCCAGTAGCATGTGTTCCACATGCAGCAACAGAGATGAAAGCAGAAAAGCAAGAGTGTTCTAGAAAAGACAGAACCTAAGTTACAGCAGTTCTGTGATGTACCTCCACAGTGTGTTCCTTCAGTATTTACAAAACGTTTAGTTGAGTGTACATGTCTTCAGAGAGAAGTGTAGACAGAAGCCCATAATGCGGCACTAATAAAAATGAAGTCATTTGGATGGACAGAGGACTTGATCTCAGTGTCTGGCTAGACATCCTGCTGTCACTCCAAGTGACCCTGGAAAGCCTGTGCTCAGCCCTACAGCCCCAGGAGCTCTGACAGGAATTTCCTGCTTATACCGTCCTCAGAACTGTTAGAGCCCATTGGCCATCACTCCAGAATGTTGTTTATAATGAAAACTGGAACCTTTCACATGACCCAACAGACACCAAGATGATTGTCTCCTTGGGCAAATGTCACACCAGGATGAGAGCATGAGTTATGGGGCAGAAGGGAGCAGCAAATGTGCTATAAATTGGCCCTAATCTGACATCACCAAATTCCTAGTTCTAAGGCACATGCCATTTATGCTCAATCACTTAGCCTCTCACAGTTTCTTGCTTTCTTCTCTCACATCTGTGACCTGCACCTTCCAAGCTTCATTCCCACACCAGTCTCCCCTCTATTCTTTCAGAACCAACTTCATGCAGCCATACACTCCAAAAAGACCAATCAATCCCACTCCACAGGTGCTAATGTGCCTCTCATAAGTATTCTATAGCTATAGGGTAAGAGAAAACCCACACTGGCATATCCCAAAGGAAATGCCATTCTGCCACTAGGGAAGGACCAGGAAAAGAAAAAAGAGTTCTGTAAAATATCACCACTTATAGTAGGTCTGGTTTGCACACATGAGTTGCTTTTATTGTGCATAGATTCAAGCATGGGGCTTAATGGCTTCTGTAGTGTGTTCTGACATCTGTCACAGACCCTGTTACTGGCTTCTGAGACATTTGTTCATTGTGTCCCTAGACTTATCAGCACTGCCATCCAACTCCATCATATGACATGGCCCCTGCTTGGCAGCAGAGAAACACTGCAAAGGCTAGAAAGAGACATTACAGGAAAACATTCCCCCAGTCGGGAATGTTTGCTTCACCTGAGAAAATAGCACAGGCATCGTGTAAAAAGGGACTTCTCAGAAACAGCATAGCAGCCACACAGAGCTTGTTGTGGAGTCAGTCATAACTGCTCGCCTTCAGCAGGACCCTGGAGGCAGGCAGCGGAGAGAAAAACTTGACACTGGCAAGGAAACAGATCCCAGCATGCACTGGTGTGTGGCTGCTGCCAATATGGAAGCTGTTAATGGGAGAACAGAAGCAGGGCACCTTGTAGAATTGACTGGCTGGCTTTTTCTGCCTGGTTCTAATTTAGAAGTGACGTCCGGCAGGTTACCGAACCTGTCAGTTATGAATCAAGTTCTGGCCACTTGGGGATGACTATCACAGACACTATGTGATGTCTTAATTGGCTACTAGAATGCTGAGGTTTAGATAGGGTTTAAGAGTGTCCCCCAAGGGTTCATGCATCGAACTTAGCCTTCTACAGATCAAAGTTGAGAAGTGGGGCCATTGATTGGTAGAGTCTGGGGAGGACACTGGGTAAATGGATGAAGGGTAGACCCTTGGCAATGATCAAGTAACTCCATCTGTGGCTTCTTCTCTGGGAAGGGGTCTGTAATTTCTATGCTTTCTTATCATCTGTCCTGAGGCATTTACTGGTGCTTCAGCTGTGTTGTTGACGTTGTAACTCTCAATTTGTGGTCTAGATAAACCTTTCTGTTTATAAAGTCACCCTGCCTCTGGCATGTGTTTCATCAAAAATAAGTGACTGCATATAGATGACAGTCATGTATACTTCCTCCAAACTTACTTATAGGATGGCCCCCTAAGTTGGTGACTAGAGACAGTAGGTTAGTTTCTTGAGAAGAGATCCATAAATTATGAATTAGAGCTCTTTAAAATAAAATCTAAGGTTAGACCATTTAAATATTCGGTGTCTCTGGCAAGTTCACCAAGCTGATTCTGGCTGCCCCCCACATCACCCAATAGGAAAAAAGTGCGTTGTTAGGGAAGGGGTGAATGCTGCCCCCACAATGCATGCCTGCACCACAATCTCCAGAAATGTGACATGATTTTATTTGGAAAAGAAGTCTTTGCAGACACAGTAGTGTAAGACTGTCAATATAACATAACCCCAGGTTGCCCTGGAGACCTCTTCATCCTCCAGCAGAGTCCTTCAATGAGGCAGAAGAGATGGCCATGAGAGAAAAAGCCCAAGAAGATGGAAGCATTGCCTAGAGTGAGGCTGCCACAAGCTCCAAGTGCCAAGAGCCACCAGGGTCTGGAGGAAACTAGGCAGACTCTACAACAGAGCCTCCCAGTGACCCGGCTCTGCTAACAGTTTTCCTTTTGGATTTCAGGGTCCCAGAGCTGTGACAGAACAAATGTGAGTCACTGAAGGACATCATTAGCACAGAAAATAATCTCCAGAATTGACAAGTGGGGTTATATGAGATGGAAGAGTTCTACACAGCCAATGAAACCACAAAGTAGAAAGATCATCTACAGAGTAGGAGAAAACCTCTGAAAACTACATCTGACAGAGCATTAGTAACCACATCTATATTTTTTAAACTTCAAAAATAAAATACAAAATAATTGGTCCAATCAACCGATGAGCTAATGAATTGAATTGTCAAGAGGATAGCAAGTATTTGAAAAGGTGTTCCACTTCCTTAGCAACAACAGAAATGCTTTGAAATGTCAATCAGAATGACTAGCATTTAGAAAACCAACAATGGTTTGGCAAGGATGGGGGTAAGAAGAAACCATATACACTTCTATCATTGTTTTAAATGTTTCGTTTTTTTTTCAATTTTCTTATATTTTGGTCATATTTGTTCCCTTCCCCCATCTCTTCCCAGATTCCATCTGCCTCCTCTTCTTTAAAGACCCCTGAGCCTTGGGGAGAGGACATTGATGAAGAACCCCATTTAAAGCATCAACTCTCACTCTATACATTATCCACTTGGGGGCCTCTGCATTAATCACCATCACCTGCAAGAAGCTTGTCCAGTGATGATTTGATAATGAACTGATCTGTGGGTGTAGCAATATGTTTTTATGAATCATTTCATCTCTGTGTTTATTTAGAAGAATAATTGCAGTAGTTTTCCCCTAGCACCCATGACCTACATAGTCTCAGGTTCCTTGACTCATTAACAGTGTCAGGTTTCATCTCATGGCATGGGTCTTAAATTCAGCCAAGAGGTGGCTGGTTACTCCCAAGAGATTTATCACTCTGCACAAAATGCAACTCCAAATAGATCAAAGAACTCAACAAAAGACATGATATACTCATTCTGATAGAATAAAATGTGGGGAATAGGCTTGAACTCATTGGCACAGGGAAGGATTTTCTGAACAGGACACCAACAGTATTTGCATTGAGACCAATAATAAGTGGGACCTCTTGCAACTAAAAAGCTTCTGTATAGCAAAGGACACCAACATCCAAGGAAAGAGACAGCCTACAGAATAAGAAAAAATTACTAAGTATACATCTGATAGATTGTTAGTATCTAAAATACACAAAGAAACATCAAGAAAACAAATAATCCAATCAAAAAGTAGAATGTAGAACTGAACAGAGTTCCCATAAGATGAAACACAAATGGTTAATAAACATTTAATAAAGTTCAATATCCTTAGCTATCAGGGAAATCATTTAAATTTGAAATTTTATCTTACCCCAGTCAGAATGACCAAGATCAATCAAATAAATGACAGCACATGCTGGAAGGTCACAGGGAACTTATCCATTACTGGTGGGAGTGTGAATTAGTACACAGTCACTATAGAAATCAGTGTGATGTTTCCTCAAAAAGCTGAAAATAGATCTACCACAAGATTCAGATACACTCCTCTTGGGAACATGCCCAAAGGACTCTACATCTTACTACAGAGACACTTGTTCATCCATGTTGATTGCTACTATATTCATAAAAGTCAGAAAATAGAAACAGCTTAGATGTCTCCATCAATTGATAAATGGAAAATGAAAATGTGGTACATTTACACTGTGGACTATTATCCAGCCCTAAAGAAGAATGAAATTTTCAGGTAAATGGATGGAGCTAGAGGAAGCAATTACCCTCACTTTTAGTAGGGATATAAAATGTACAGCAGCTACTGTGGAAATCAACTAGTATGAAAGATTTTCACAAAACTAAAAAAATGATTAGTAGAGAGAGTCTGGGATGCTCACAAAAGAAACAATAAATGAGATGCTGAATATATCAACTACCTAGATGTATGGATCCAAACATTTGCTGGGTCCATGTGAGTAAGGTTCAGATATTTATTTGAAAAAAGAAAGAGAGTAGGACAAGCCTCTTGGCAAGCACATTCCCTGCGAGAACTGACGCACATGTGGGCATCAGCCAGTAACATGTGAGGTGGGACTGAAGGAGGATGATCCAGGCACTAGAAATACACATGATCCCTGCATTGGTACCCTCCGTTCAGGGAACCAGAGTAGCATGTGCTCCAAGATGAGATGGGAGAGCAGGTGATGAAGCTGTAATGGTACCCTGGGGCCTATGACAGGGACGCTGTAGATCACAGCAAAGACAAGGCCTTATCTGAGGGATGATGAGGAACAACCAATGGGTCTCAACATGGGATAAATACAATGTAATTCACATTATGAGCAGGCTGAAGAGAGCTAGGGGATGAATTTGGAGGGTATATCTCTATCCATGTAAGATCTGACCATGGCCATGACCCAGGTGATGTGGCAATGGAGAGAACTCTGCATGAGGGATGGGTAAAAAAATGATGCTCCTTTCTCCAGACTGAACAACCCAGTGATGCTTTGTGCCAGTAGGGAATAATGAGTAACAGAAACAGATGACAGAAGACAGGAACCACAGGAACAGGGTAGGTATCGCTTCACTAATGCAGTCCCAATCTCAAGATTCTACTTTGATATCTTTACAAACTCTCAAAAATCTCCAAACAGACCGATTGTTTTGCTCATCAAGCCTCATTTCCAGCTTTCTTTCATTTCAAGAGTATCACCAGCTGTTATCTTAATCAGATCAAGAGTTTTTATTCCCAGAAATAAGACCATCAAGTCCGCAAGGCACCTTCTTCAGCTTGAAAGCAGATATAAATTAATTTTCTGAATCCTACACCCACTGCCAACTTTAGTGTCAGGATCAGAATAAACACAGACTTCTTTTTATTTTAAACAACAAAAATACCCTTGGAAACCTTACCCCGGAAACTGAATTCCAACCTGGTAAAGACCACAGCCCTCTGAGATGAGCATGGCCACCACCACTCCACTAAGCCTTCTAAATTCAACCTTGATTAAATAATGGGAAACACTTGAATACAATGAGCCCATACATATGTCAACAGCCAAAGAACTTTTGCCCTTGGTGCCTCCTGCCACATGGCAAGCTTCCCTCCTACACAGTGATTAGTTCGGTGTAGCTCCAACTTATAGCCACATTCCAACAGAAACATTTTAATCCTGCTCATTGTAGCCAGAAAAGGACAGAGCATGCTAAAATGGTTACTAACCAATTTACATAATCAAAAGGAATTGTACTGTATTGGCCGACATATTAGTCATGGGATTAAAATCTATCCTCTCCTGAACAGGCTAACCCTCTTACAGATAGCCCAAAGTAATCAAGTTAGCTTCACAGTAAATTTTAGTAAGCCCATCACTCGTGTAAAGGAATTTCAGAAAAGGAAAGATCAAACAGTTCTTCAAACCCTTCATGCAGATGAAACACTGGGCAGAATAAATGTCTTACAAAGCACTTATATAATTGATTTAAGCTAAAATACCCTAATAGAGATACATTTGCCTTCACGAATGGATTTGTACTATAAAGCCTTCCACCATGGAAACAAATCTCAGTGCTTTTTTTTTGTTTGTTTGTTTTTGTTTTTTTTGCTTTTTTTTTTTTTTGAAGAACATGACAGCAGCAATAAAGGGCATAGGAAAGCATCTCTTCAGGCAGTTTCCTTCTATCAGTTTTATGTGAAAACCTTTAGAGAGGTGCTGTTGAAGCCCATAGTGACCAGACAGCGTGGCCGATTATTCTGTGACTGTCTACCGAGTGCAGCTCCCTTCTGAGCAGCCATAGTGTCCGGACGAGCAGAGTCAGCTGGCGCTTCCCTGGGCTCCTGTATGGCTTTGCTGTACTCTCATCCAGTCCGCCTTGGAATACCCAACTTCGTTGTATGTGTGTTATTTTACAAAGCCACAGCCACAGCTAAGGCCCCAGGAATGTTCCATTGGTTTTCACACAGATTTAAGTTCTCATTCGGATATCTCCAAACCATTCTGGGTCTTTCCTGTATGTTGATCATTGAGTCACTGCGCAATCCAGACTCACAGCATAAAAGGGTGATAGTAAGTGTGCCTTTCCATATATCCAAGTTACTGATTTTAAAAGTACATAAGGATACAAGCCTCCGGTAGAACATGTGACAGCATCACCACCCACTGCTCATTGCCAATGTGTCCTTGCATCTATCCCATAGACTCCCAAAGGCCTACCTGAAGGAGAGCACACACACCCAAACTCAAGCAGGCTCCATAATTTGGAGCCTTGCAGTGATTGACAAGAAGAGAACAATATTCCTGTTATTACACCATCTAACATATGTTCCCATGATGCTGCCTCTCTGTCACGTAGCCAGTAGAGATCAACCCTTCTACCCAAAGTGGCAACAAAATGTTTTGTGCTTTTGGAAAATATTGGTATGATGGTTCATTGTATGTGTAAACTTCTATGTTCCCGTAGATAGTCAGGTTGGGAAGCAGTAGTTCTGGATAAAATGTGTATATTAATCAATGGACTTCAAGTAAAATGAATTGTCTTCCATAATGTCCATAAGCTTCATAAGCTTCATTCAATCCGTTTAAGACCTGAATAGAAGAAAAAAACCGATGCCACAGCCAAGCAATGGGTAATCCTGGCAGCAGAAGGCCTATACATGAACTGCCCACTATGACACCACCAACCCCATCATCACAACGGCAAATTCTTTAAAATCTCTCTTTCTCCCTCTCTTCTCTCTCTATCTTATAACATATGTAATTATGTGACATAATATAGCAATAACAAAAATCAAATCAAGCCAGGCGTGGTGGCATAAAATCTTAGCATCTGGGAGGCAGAGGCAGGGGAATTTCTGTGAGTTTAAGGTCAGCCAGTGCCTCACAGTGAGACCCTGTTTACAAAAAGAAACAACGAAAAGAAGATATACAAAAATTAACCACAAATAACAATAAAAACATTAGCAATGGTCTCATCATTTGTAAGTATCAGAGTATAGTACCTAATCCGAGGCAGGGCATCACTAGGTGGTATCATCTTAGGAGACCACGGCTGTCTATGTAGGCTACTGTTGACCCAGATGTTATGATATATGACCCCTAACAGATGTTTGGTTCTGTTTCTCTAGATAACCCCAATAAAAAATTGTTTAATATTTCACACAATACCCACAGTTCCTTACATTGACCACTAGTGATAGCATAATAACCCCTCAGCTCCCTTTAAGTGAGTTGGGTCCACATCTCTTTAGATGTCTCCATAACATTCCGTGTTAATGTTTGTCCTTGAAATCTTGCATGAGTGGAATACAGGTATTTGACCTCTAGACCATAAGCCTTCTGAGCCACAAGTGATATGTACAGATATTTCTCCACGCAGACCTTCTGAGAATAAATGACACCTAGGGGAACTGTGAGTCAGATTCATCGGCAAAAACATTACACCCTGGACTCAAAGGTCCCTCAGTACAAATGAGAAAGGAGAGAGAGAGAGAGAACTTGCAATGAGCAAGAAGGCCTTGTACTCACAGCACTTGTGTGGAAGAAAATACATAGTCCAACAAGATACCACCCTAAAGTAACAAACCATAACAGCTGTAGAAACACAGAACGACAGGTAATGCTTTGGGGCTCTGCCAAGTTAGCTCCATGTTTCAGTTGCTATAGCATTAGGAGACAGACAAATAGAGGCAATAAAAAAACAGCCATAATCTAAAAAGCTATTTTTAACTAATGGTTCAAAGTCTTCCCACAAGAACCTCCACTAAGACAATCAACAACTGTTGCTTATGCAGAAGAGAATCACAGAGCCTGCCTGAGGGACGAGGCAATCTGAAGAAAATCAGGTGAAATATACACTCAGA